AGCCCTCTACCAACTGAGCTACAGTCCCAACCCCAAGATGCCTTTTTAAAATGCCCTTAGCCAGGCTCGGGGCTCTTGAAGGCTTTAGGTGATGAGTCAATGTCAGCCTGTTCTACATGGCGACTATGTCAGGGAAGAACACCTGAGGGACTACAGAGCCAGCTTGGTGGGTCAGAGCACTTGCTGCTGAGCCTGACACCCTAAGTCCAATCCCTGAAACCCAACCAGCTTCTGAAAAATTGTCCTCAGACCTCCACATGCATGCTGAACACGTGCAACACACACACACACACACCACCACCACCACCACCACCACCACCACCACCACTAAATAAATAAATAAATAAATGTAATAACAAAAATTTAAGACTAAGTCTTACTGTGTAGCCCTGGCTGACCTGGAACTCCCTGTGCAGACCAGGCTGGTCTCAAACTCACAGAGATCCACCTGCCTCTGTCTTTCAAGTACCTTTAAAGGTGTGCACCACCAGGTCTGGAATTTTTTTTTTTTCAACATCTGAAACAGGGGCTAAGGAGACAACTCAGTGGTTAAGAGAACTTACTGCTCTTGCAGAAGACTGGGGTTCAGTTCTCAGCACCCACAGGACAGCTCACAACTATCTGTACCTCCAGTTCTAGGGGATCTGACATCCTCTTCTGCCTTCATGGATATTGCATGCATGTAGCACACACACACACACACACACACACACACACACACACACAATACTCACATATAAAATAAAAATAAACAAATCTTTTTTTTAAAATCTGAAATGGACTGAGGCTGTTCTTCAGTGGCAGGGTGTTGGTCTCACAGTATGACGTCATGGGTTCAATCCCCAGTTTTGCTAAGGATCATGTCTGAAAAGGACAGCAGTGCCCCCACCCCCCAAACATCAATGTTCAATTAGCATGTAACCCAGCATTCAGGGGAAGGGCTGAACGGGGTCAGATAAGTATATGGACATGGGGGCGGGGGAGTAGTAGCCCAGGGTGTCATAGCAGCCCCAAGATAGAAGCCCAAGGGTTCACAGACAGACCAAAGTGGGGAACAAAATATGGCCACCTGAGCAGTGGACTATTATTCAGTCTTCAAAAGGAACGGGATTCAGACACATACTGCAGCTGTACCTGTTGAATAAGTTGAATAAATTCCAAGCGGTGAGCCAGGCCAGGCACAAAGGGCCACACACTGCTAGGCTGATCGCTGGAGTCCCTGGAGTCCTAGCTCCACAGGATGTGGGCTTAAGGAGGTGGGGGGAGGATGAGTCAGCATTTGAGGGGGACATAGTTTCAGTCTGGGGAGGTGAGAACCCTGTGGAGCCGGATGGTGGCAAGGCAGCACAATAAAGTCGGCTCCCCCCCTCCACCGTGGGGATCCCTGGATTTGCAGTTAGGCTCAGGCTTAGGATCGTGCAATGTGTCTTTATCTGGAGGGCAATCCTTCTTCTTCTTCTTCTTCTTCTTCTTCTCCTCCTCCTCCTCCTCCTCCTCCTCCTCCTCCTTCTTCTTCTTCTTCTTCTTCTTCAAGACAGGGTCTCCTTATGTAGCCTTGGCTAGCCTAAAATTCTAGGCTGGCCTCAAGAGATCCTCCTGCCTCTGCCTCCTGAGATCTGGGATTAAAGGCGTGGGCCACTAGCCTCAGCCAATTTTACGTTGTTTTGTTTTTTCAAAGTGAAATATTAGCTGACCTCCTCCTTGCTCTGGAGGGCCTGAAGTATCACCTTCTTTGAGGCTCGTCAGACCCACCTGCCAGCCCTCCCCCTCCCCGCCCCGCCCCGTCTGCATAAAGGGATTGCTGAGGCCAGAAGATGAATTTAAATTGGGAAAGTATAGCTGTGATTTGTAAAGTTTACCCTAGGCCCTGCCCAGAGGACAGCCTCCTCCCCCATCAGGCCCAGAACCCAATTTTCATGCATTCTTATTGTTATGAAGATGAAGCTGCTGAACTCTTCACAGCTGAACTGGCTGCTAGGTGAAGCCCTGCTCCCAAGGAGAAGTGTCTATTCAAGAGAACGACACTGGGACTTTTTAAAGGGTAGGTCACGCAAGGTCACAGACTCTTGGGTGTTGTTGGCCTGGGCCTTGACTGCAGGCTTTAACTCCGAGCCTTGCCCCGCCTGCTCACCTGTCAGCCTCCACTCACAGCCTACTGGAGTGTGATTTTCTGTAGACTCTCAACAGGCCTTGGCTCTTCCTCAGAAACTGGCACGTGCTGTCTGTTGGGCACGTGCTGTCTGTTGGCCAGCACCGATCTGAGCCACCCCACCCCAGACTTTGCTAAGCCTCTTCTCAAAGTCCCCTCCCCCACCGCCTTCTGCCTCTGCTGGCACCCTATAGCACACATTAGTCCTCAACCCTCTTTGTAGCTGAGGATGACCTTGAACTTCTGATTTTCCTGCTAGAGCTGGGATTGTAGGTGAGCACCGCCATGCCATGCCTGGGTTATTCAGTGCTGGAATCTGGGGCTTCATGCATGGCAGATAAGCATGCTATCACATGAGTCACGCCCACAGACCACAGCTGCCACCATTTCTTCCACAAATTTTGCAGACTGGGGCCTGGAGAACAATCTGAAAAAAAAAAAGTCACTTGTGACCAACAGACTAGAGGCTGGACTTGAACCCAGCACTGGTGGCTGCAGGATCTTCCTGTGTCCCAAGTTGGTGATAGACTAGATAGACATTCAGGAGTGTGGCAAGGCAGAAGGGCTCAGGGCCTGAACTCAGCTCAGCCAGAATCACCTGACCCTGTCTGTCCCAGGCACTTAGACGTTTCCGCACTGACCTCACTCACAGTACTGAACAGTTTGCTCCAGGCCTGGCTCAGCCAGTAGCCACTGGACACCTACTGTGTCTCAAGCTCTGGCGATAGGCCCAGACTGTGATCCCATCATGATGGTGGCAATCTCAGGAGGGCAGGGACACATAATAAATGAAGACTTTTGTTGTGATTTTGTTTTTCTTTTGAGACAAGGTCTCATTCTATAGCCCAGGCTAGCTTGGAACTCACTACATAGACCAGGTTGGCCTCAAACTCAGAGATGCCCCTGCCTCTGCCTCCTGAGTGCCAGGATTAAAGGTGTGGACGGACGGCCAAGTAGAGTGAGTGGAGGCACACAGGCATCTATCTGAGAGACTGCTATCCTAGGGCAGCCTAAGCAGGAGGAGTCACGGGCCAGAAGATCTGTGGATCTTCTTTCCAGGGAGAAGGCTGGAAGCGGATGACAGGCTGGGGTCAGCCCATGGGGCTTTTATCCTTACCCATGTCCCCACATTCTCCGGACACTAACGAACATGGAGGATGAGGGGCCTGCAGCAGTTACTGTAGGTTGTGGGGCCACAGCCAGGAGCAAGAACCAGACCCCAGATCAGTCGGATGATAGTACCCAATCCTAGCCCTCCCCTGATGCTATCAAGAGCACCCATAAAGTGTGGTGGCCAGCCGCTCACTCTGCCATGTCACAGGGTCAGGGATGCATCCACAAATTGAGTTGGGGGTGGGGGAACCTGCCCGCCAACAGCAGCAGCTTTAGTGCAGAGCAATGGTCTGATCCAGGCCTGGGTCCCTGCTCCCCAGAGGAGCACCCAAGAGTGCCCCATCAAGGCCTGCAACCCACCTCCAAGAGACACTTTACAACAAGGATATCAGGGACCCGTAGACAGGAAGGGATATGTCCCAGCAGGGTGTGTGTGTGGGGGGGGCGCCTCTGAAAGACCAGCAGGAGCTCCACGAGACACCAGAGGTCTCGGGATCCCAGGCTGCTAGGTGCATCAGAGTGCCTCATCAAGAGATTTGGAGACATGTTGTAACCCCCACTAAGGACTAGATAGAGTATGTCCCCTCTGGGTCTCGGGACCGGCTCCATTCTCTTTGGTGTTCTGAGGAAGGTCCAGGAATGAGTGGTGTAAACCCAGGGAGAGAGGGCAGGAGGAAGTCACAGTACCCTGAGGAGGCTCTGGTGGCAGGTACCGATTCTGCAGTAAGGGGTGTAGCAGGCTTTGAGCCCTCTGCATTGTGGCCGGGTCACCTGCTGGCTCCAGGCTCCTCAGATACCACAGAACACAGAACAGGGACATTCACACCTAGGTGAGCAGTACCAAGGCTCTGCTCAGTCCGCCCCATCAAGCCATAATGGCCACAGTGGGGGGTGGGGTGCTGGTGGGGGAAGGGACCCTTCCAGAGCCCTTAAGGGTTGGAGTGCTCCAGGGCTGGGAAGGTCGGGTCTCCACGCTTGAGAATCGTTGTTCTGGAGTCGGAGGGAGGGAATTGATGGCTCCTAGAGCCCGATGCCCTGCCAGCTGTCTGTCTGTTCTTGCCTTCAGGTGCCTGAGAGGGGAGCGCGGGTCTGTGCTGTCCCCGGATGTCCTGAACTCCTTCCTCTTAGAAGCGCCTACTCCGTGGTTGCTGCTCAGGCTTCATCCCTCCACCTGGCAGACCCGGAAACTTGCAAGCTTCTGGGACCACCCTAGACTTGCTTTCCCCCCAGTTGTGCCACCCTTGGCATTTCTCCCGATAGCCAAGCCGCAGTGTGGCTTGCTACTTTCCACGGTCAACCCAGGCCAGTCCTTGGAGTACTAGAAAGGACCCAGATTCCGGCGGGTCCCCAAGGGTCTCCCCTCAAGGAAGGAGGACGGGAGATGCCCTGGGGAGCAAAGAGCCGCGGGGCGGGACCAACAGGTTCCAGTGCTGGGCGGAGCCAAGAGCAAGGGGCTGGGGTCTCTCCAGGTGACAGTAGCCACCGCCCGGCCCGCGCCTCCTCCCCCGGCGGTGATTGGCAGGCGGCCTGCGCCCCGGCTCCCAGGCGACCAGCGCCCCGCGGGCCGGCGAGTAGGAGGGGGCACCGGCTATATATACCGCTGCTCGGCGGGGCTGGGCGCGCGGGGACTGTCCCGCCACCGCCGCCGGCCCGTTTGCTCCCGCACCCTCGACCGGCGCGCAGCATACGCCGGACTCACGGCCCGCCGCTCGATCGCACGCACGGCCCGCGGGCCGGGATGGAGAAGCGAGGGCCGGCAACGGGGACGCTGCTGCCCGGGGTCCTGCTGGCCCTACTGGTGGCCTTGGTGGGCCGAGGGGCCGCCGCACCCAACGGCACGCGACCGGCCGAACTGGGGCGCGGCTGGGACGGCCTGGTGGCCCGCTCGCTGGCGCGCCTGCCTGTGGCCGCGCAGCCCCCGCAGGCGGCTGTCCGTAGCGGTGCAGGGGACTACCTGCTGGGCCTCAAAAGATTGCGGCGGCTCTACTGCAACGTGGGCATCGGATTCCACCTGCAGGTGCTGCCCGACGGCCGCATCGGCGGCGTGCACGCGGACACCAGCGACAGTGAGTGCGGGGCGCACCAGGAGGGTGGGGACCCGGGCAGCAGACCCGGTATCCGTGGGGACTAGATAGAGACCTCCGCCCCTTTGGACGCGAGGAGCGCACCCGCTGGCCGGGCCCCGCCTCCCGCCTTCGGAAGCCTGGGCTCCCGGTGCCGAATTCCAGCGCCTTCGCCCGTCGGCACCCACGGGAGCCTGGGACAAGTGCCCAGACTGACGCCTGACTTGGGGGCTACCGGCTCTTAATGCTTGCGCTGGGGACCCTGGGTTTTTCACCCTCACTCACTCCAGCATCGAGGTCTCCAGAGGTTTGTAGGTGGGGGTCTGTATGGGCCCAGGGTCACCTACGTTTTTTTGACCTGTGTCTCGCCCCCCACCCCAGGTCTTCTGGAGCTCTCCCCGGTGCAGCGGGGCGTGGTGAGCATCTTCGGAGTGGCCAGCCGATTCTTCGTGGCCATGAGCAGCAGGGGCAAGCTCTTCGGTGTGGTGAGTACCTGGGGGTTCTGCCTGGGCACCTGCTGGGGACAGTGTGCAGGGCTAGCAGAATTGAAAAACCCACACCCCACCCACACGCATGCGCTTGTGTCTAGTTACCAGGTATCAAGGTTTTCAGCCAAAGTAGCCAGAGGCAGGCTGGTTTTCCAGACCAAGGGAAGTGCCACCCTATTCCTGCCAGCCGTATGTGGGTACTTACTCATCCTAGGAGAGAGGCGGGTTGAGCAGAGATGAGTCCTAACAGGCAGAACTCGCAGCAGGAGATACCAGATTGATAGGGACAGGGCAGGTGAGCTGTGCTCCTCCGCCTAGCTTGGTTTCATCACCTCCTTGAAGCCTGGGACAGACAGACTTGACACCCTGCCTAGAAAGACCTTGGGCCCCGCCTGCAACAGGTCCCTGGCTCACGCTGTGTCCTCTTTCCTAGCCTTTCTTTACCGACGAGTGTAAATTCAAAGAGATTCTTCTGCCCAACAATTACAACGCCTATGAATCCTACGCGTACCCGGGCATGTTCATGGCTCTCAGTAAGAACGGGCGGACCAAGAAGGGGAACCGCGTGTCGCCTACCATGAAGGTAACCCACTTCCTGCCTAGACTGTGACCCTCCGGAGCCCTGCCTCAGCCTCGGAAGCACACTCTACCCCTCAGGAGGAGCACTTTCTCTCCATGGAGAATTGTTTGCAAAAACAGGTGTAAGATATTTAAATTAATTATTTAAATATGTATATACGGATGCCCAATTATTTATAATAAACTGTGTATTTTCAGTTTCTGGGAGGTGGGGGAAATGACCAAAAGAACAAACAGATCCAATGGAGCTCAGACTTTTTTGGTGCAGTGGGACAGACTTCCTTCACTATCAGAACTCAGGGTGTGCTGCTATTTCATGTGTGAGTCTTAAAACTCGGTGACATCAGATTCCAAGGGTGCCTGGGCCTCTCTGTCTGGAAAGGCTTGCCTGGGGCCTCTGAGCCAGTGAGAAGAGGACCCTGCACTCTGCTCCTTCCAGTCGGGAAGCATCCTGGAGCAGCCGCTCCCTCAGCTCTCGTTGGTATGAACCCGAACGGATCGGTTTACTCCAGGGACAGAAGTGCGTCCTGGAAGTTCTCCCGCCTCTGTTTTTAGATCTCCAAGACTGATCTTTGAACTCTCTTGCAGTCAATCTTCCTCGACCTCCGGGATGGGAGAGACCCTTAGACAACTTTATAAACTCCTGTTTGCCCTTTTTTGGACTGGCCAACAGAGCAAAAGGCTGGTAGCCACTGGAACTTTTCAATTGCCTGGAAAGGAACCTAGGCATGGACAAGGAGGTGTGTGCCACAACTCAAGACTCTAGGGATGAAATTCTACTTTGTGATAGAGGATGGCTTGTCAGGATGTAACAGAATGTATTTTTGCAAAAATCAAACTGAGAAATAGAAAAACAGGCTTCATTGAATTGGGGGAGCTTTGTAATGGAACTCCATAATTTGAGAGTGAACTGTCTTTCCCAGCCCTGATGCAATCTGCCGGCAGGAGTCCCATTCTGGTGCAGTCCCAGTGTGAATGCATTCTATTCCCATCTACCTCAGGGTTCCTGAGCCCCTGGCGATCAAGCTGGAGACTCTGCAGGCGGGTGCGTCTGCCTGCTTCTCTTCCACATGTAGCATCGTGCGCCCTGCTCGACTCTTGTCACGTTCCAGCTATCTTTACCCAATGATTTACTTTTAGTAAGGGGTATTCATGGTGAAAATATGCGCTGCCAGCTGTCGGAGTGCACTATATGGTCACCAAGTCAAGTAACCCTTGTATTTTTCTTTATATATTTTACGAATGTAACCCCTGTCGCTGAGACCAAGATGGAAGAGGCAGGGTCGGCGGCATTTAAAAAAAGGGCTGGCTGAGGTGAGGGCGAACATTTAATTTTAATGAATGACTCTTTGGAGTTTATACAAAATGACCTTAGCTCACTGCAGTGAATGCCCCGAATGCTTCTCCCCAAGATGTTAAGACTGCTGGGAGGCTTCTGAGCCGTGTCCCAAATTAACTTTATGGGAGGCTACAGACAGCAAGACGGGGAAAATCTGATTGGCATTTTTTTTGTCTTTCACATTCCTTTCAAAAACTCTTTGTTTGAATGCTAATCGGATACTTAAAATACTATTCTGTACCACAGCCCCAAAAGGAAGAGGCCACGCCCCGAAGCTGAGGTGGGAGCACTTCCCAAACTTCCCTTGCTGTGTGGCTCACAGGACAACACAGATTATGTGTTTCTGAAGCCAAGCCCTAGACTCTAAGAGTGTTGGGGGAAAGGTCTTTTGTTTTCTTTTGTTGTTTTTTAAAGACAGGGTCTCCTAGCCCAGGCTGGCCCTGAACTTGCTATGTTGCTGAGGATGACCTTGAATTTCTGATCCTCCTGCCCCCACTTCCAAAGCACTGAAATTAAAGGCATGCCCGGCCACGTGCTATTAGGTGCTGGGGATTGAAATCAGGCGCATCCCAGGCCACTCAATCAACAGAGCTATGCCTCCCTCTTTTCTGGAAGGGCAGGGATGAGATAGGGTCTTATTCTGTAGCCCAAGATGGCCTCCTGCTTGAGTCAACCAAGTGATGAGGCTACCAGGGGCCGGCACCTGCCCTGCTCTGATGGGGCTCTCTGCAGCTACGTTGCTTCAGGCGGGCTGTGGTCCTCCATGACCACCTGTTTCCTTTCTTCAGCCAGCTTCCTTTTCTGTGTCCAGGGACAAGGCTGTACCTTCAGAATTTCGTCGTGGGATGGGTTTAAGGTTTCTGTATCTGCCCCTGTTACTAACGAGTCGGTCTGTAGTTAATACAGGTGTCGACCCAGAATAGTATGTGCTGTGCACACTGGATGCTTGATCCGAGAGAAACGTTCGATCGTGTATAGAGAGCCCCGAGAGACTGATGGGAATGATCGGGAAAGATATTAAAGTGGCAAACGTGTCTTGAAGCCCCTGTGTCCGCTTCATCTTTTTTCTATTTGCAATTGAGCAGGATGGGAGCAGGGAGAGAGATTTAGCCAGCTGTGTGCGCACCAATGTGGCCTTGAAAACAGACCAGGAGGCAACGGTGTCACAGAGTTTTACCACATCCTAGTGTTTCGTCCCCTCAGTGGGGCTCTATTGCTGCCTACCTGGTCACTAACCTGGGTCTGTGAGTCTGTCCACAGCCCTGGTGAGTACATGCTCACCAAAGCAAAGTGGGGCAGATGGGACGGGTCAGGGTGAGGATGGTCAGCAGGTACCACATGTGGGTTTGACTTCAGTTCAGCTAACTGTTCTCAGTGAGGAGGTAGAGTCAAATTCCAAGTCATAAAAGCTCATACCTTTAATCCCAGTATTCAGAGGCAGAGGGATCTCTGAGTTTGAAGTCAGCCTGGTCCACATACTGAGTTACAGGACAACCAAGTGAAACCCTGTTTCGTTTGTTCAAGGTTGGTTCTTGAGTTATTGTGGGCCGGGGCGGTGGTGGCACACGCCTTTAAGCCCAGCACTTGGGAGGCAGGGGCAGGTGGATGCACAGAGTGAGTTTCAGGACAGTCAGGGATACACAGAGAAATCTTGTCTTGAAAAGCCAAAACCAGAAAACAGTTTAGTTCTTACCTCCTAGCACACTCAGACCATCAGGTTTGGCAGCTGCCTGTCCGCTGGGTCATTTCACTGCCTGATTTTAGGGCTTGTGGATTGTTTTTGAGTTTGCTTGTTGTTTTACTTGAGATGGGGTCTCACTATATAGGCCAGACTAGCCTTGAACTTCCAAAGATCTGCCTGCCTCTGTCTTCTGAATGGTAGAAGTAAAGACATGCACCACCACGCCTGGCGATCTTTGGTTTTTAATGTAAGGGGAGAGCTTGCACAATCCCCATTACCACAAGTTATAAGGTCCAGATTCTCACACTTGGGGAACTGCACAGTTCAGCACATCTGGAGTGCAGTGGATGAGTCTGGAGCTCCTCTGACCCCTCCCTTCAGGGAAACTTGCAAGCATTAAAGAGTTATTGTGGGCCGGGCGGTGGTGGCGCACGCCTTTAATCCCAGCACTCGGGGAGGCAGAGCCAAGAGAATCTCTGTGAGTTTGAGGCCACCCTGGTCTACAGAGTGAGTTCCAGGACTGCCAGGACTGTTACATAGAGAAACCCTGTCTCTAAAAAAACCAACAACAACAAAAGAGTTATTGTGGCCAAATAGAAATTTTTTGGTGACAATGGCTGTGAGGGAAGCAAATTGGCACACTGAGCTGTGGGCCACCTGAAGCTGCCTTGAATAACTGCATGGTGCTACCCAGTCAGGGTTCCACATGAGCCAGACTGACTGGGCAGCCCTGGCACTTCAGTGATGGACGGGGGCGATACACCACAGGGTGTGGCCAGCCAGGGCTGTTCCACCTTCACTTCCCTGAGTGGAGTGACATCCATCCCTAGAGGAGTTTGGAAAGCATGTGACCCAGGAGGAGGGAGATGGCACCTGTCAGGTGGCCTCATTCCTTTAAAGGACCACTCACAGCATGTAAAGCAGTCAGAGGCCCTGGACAGCTGGCCAAGCCCAAAGCATCCCTTTCTGAACAGTCTGCATGTATGTGCTCCGGGTTCGCCGGGGTCCTGGACAGGACAGGGTCAGGCACAGCTCTGTCATCTGCCGCCTCTGCTGTCCTCTCGCTGAGAGGTATCATCTGTGCACCTCCATTTCACGTCAGCATTGGCAGAAATGTCTCTGTGATTTCTGAGGCAGGCCACCTTCAGTGTTCTGAGCCACTACAGGATTGGACACCCAAGGTCCTATGTCTGTTGTCCCAAGGAAGAGGAAGTAGAGCCGGGCATAGCAGTCCTAGGGGGTGAGTGCTCTATTAAGAGCCCTCATTGAGCCTGACAGCCCAGGTTACAGTCAAGCCCTGCCTTGAAAACCAAACAAACCAGAAATCCAGCAGTAGGGAAGTAGAGGCAGAGGGCTCAGAGGCTCAAGGTCATCTTCCTATACAGTGAGTCGGTGGCCAGCCTGAGCTTGTCGAGTGTGCTTGTGAACACCTGTAATCCCTTCACTCAGATGCCAGAGGCAGGAAGATCAGGAGTTCAAGGTCAGCCAGGGCTACATAGTAACTTCAAGGCCAGCCTGGGCTACACCAGACCTTGTATCAAAGACCAACAATTAAAAAATTAAAAAAGGAGCCGGGCGGTGGTGGTGCACGCCTTTAATCCTAACACTTGGGAGGCAGAGGCAGGCAGGTCTCAGTGAGTTTGAGGACAGCCTGGTCTACAAAGCAAGTTCCAGGACAGTCAGGACTGTTATGCAGAGAAACCCTGTCTCGAAAAACAACAACAACAACAAAATTACAAAAGAAACTTTGGGGGGGTGGGGTTCTATTCCATGGAATCTTTCTGGCTTGGGCTCCTGGTTAGCTGTTCTGTGTTAGCTCAATGCTGATAATGGTTGTTCTGGGGACAAGTGGAGTATGCAGGTTTGCTGGCCCTGAGTCCTCTGGCAGAAGCAGAATCAGCCTGTGTCCTGAGGGGACCCCCACAGTATCAAGGGCCAAAGTGAGGACCCCCTCAGTCACTGGGGGTCCTCAGATGGCTACCAGCTCCTACTCGATCCTGAGAGCAAAGAG